AGGATCCCTCAAGGCCAGGACTTCTCAGCCCTTGGCAGTTAAATCAGAATCTCTAGGGAGAAGAGTCTGGCATGTCTAGTTGTTTTTTAAAAAAAACCTCAAGGGATTCTCAAGTGTTAACACAGGTTAACTCTACTGCTCTAGGCCATTTAGGTTCCTGAATTTCTGTTTTTCCTTACTTCCCTGAAAGTTTTACAACTAAATAGGTCAAGGACATTAGTTCCTTAACAGGGAAAGAATAAAAAAATCAAGGAAAAGATTCTAACAAAGGAAGGAGCGGACAGGACAAATGAGATAGGAGTGGAAGAAGCACTTCGGAGCAGCATAACGCCTTTGAGAACAGGTGCGAGCCCACTGACTCTGCAAGAAGACTTTTTAGGGGATGCTGGTAGAGGACTAGAAAATGCACACACCATCAGTTGTGAACTGAAAAATCTAAAGCCTTTCCTTTCAGCCTTTGCATAGTATTCCTCTCCTCGGGTGCCAGTGCGACAGGAATGTGATTGGTAGTTAGTTATACTTGCTTGACTGTTCCTGGCATTAAACATATAGGTGCAGAGGTACTTAAGTCTCAGCATGGTCTTCATTTAGCAAAAGCGTTAAGGAGTCACTAGTTTTTAAGCACAGAATTAACAACAATTCGTTGAGTCAGCATTTACTAAACTCTTATTGTGCACCAAGCATTTTCTAGGTACTGATAGCAAACAAAGCAAAGTACCCATTGTAATAGAGCTTACATTCCAGGGGAGAAACAGAGAACATAAAGAAAGCATATATAGTGGAGTGAAAAGAATAAAGAGTGAAGGCAGGTGTACTGGTTTATATTAAAATTGTTGGGAAATACTCTTTGATAAGGAAGTAAGAGGGTGAATCATGCTGATATCCGAGGAAAGAGCATCTGGGGCAGAAAAATAGTAAATACATAGTTCCTGGGTGGGAGCATGCCTGGCGTGTTCAGCCAACAGCGAGGAGACTGACTTGACTGCAGCAGAGTGACCTGGGTTAGGGAATAGGGCCAGATTCCATGGACCAGGGCAAAGATACCGGATTTTACAAATGAATGAGACAAGAAGCTTCTTGGAGGATTCTCAGAACAAGAGTGATATGATCTGACCTACGTTTTCTTAAAGAATGACTCCAGTTGCTATGTGGAAAATGCACTACTGAGGAGCAAGGCCTGAATCAGGGAGGCCAGCTGTGGAGTGATTGAGCAGCCCCGGAGCAGGGGACTGTGGCCTCCATATGACTGTAGCTGGTAGAGGAAGTGAGAAGTAGTTGGATTTTTGATATATTTTGTAGCATTTGTTGATGGGTAGGATATCTGGTATGAGAAAAATGAAGGAATCAAAGATGAAGACAAAGTTTATAACGTGAGAAACTGAAAGACTGGAGCTGCCTTTTGCTGAGCAGGTTCCATAAATAAGCAAGAATTTTGTTTCAGAGGGCTCATTTTGGTATGCCAGAGCAGAGAGATGTCAAGAAGGCAGTTGATACATGAGACTGGCATTCAAGGGAAGAATTAGCGCAGGTGATATAAATTTGGGAGTTATTATATAGAAATGCCCCTATACTCAAGAATGTCTCTACTTAAATGCAAATCAAAACTACAGTGCGATACCACCTTACTCCAGTAAAGATGGCCATCATTAATAAATCAAAAAAACAACAGATGCTGGCACCGGTGCAGAGAAAAGGGAACACTTCTACACTGTTAGTGGGAATGCAGGCTAGTTCAACCTTTAAGGAAAGCAGTGTAGAAATTCCAAAAAGAAGTAAAAACTGGCCTTCCATACAATCAAGCCATCCTTCTCCTGGGCATATACCCAGAGGAACATAAATCATTGTACAAAAAAGATCCCTGCACACGCATATTTATAACTACACTATGCACAAAAGCAAAAACATGGAACCAACCCTACTGCCCGTCAAAAGTGGACTGGATAAAGAAAATGTGGTACATATACACTCTGGAGTATTACACAGCCAAAAAGAAGAACAAAATCATGGACTTCACAGGAAATTGGATGGAGGTGGAGACCATCATACTTAGTGATCTATCACAGAAACAATGAACTGAATACCGCATGTTCTCACTCATAGTGGAACCTGAACTTTAATCACAGTAGCACAAAGCAGGGTTCAGCAGTCTCTGGGCACTAGCAGAGGAGGAAGTGTGGGAGAAGGATACACAATAACACAAAGGGTACCTGCTCCCAAGCCAGGGAAAGTGAAGGCCAGTTGGATACCCAGACTTTACCTGCATGCAGTCTACTTATGTAGTTTACCCTTACTTGTACTTCACATCTCTACAAGAAAATGAAATTTTAAAAAAAAGAATCTCTCTACTTAGTAAGCTATTAAAATGCCCCCATTTGTGTGTGTGTGTGTGTGTATGTGTGTGTGTGTATGTGTATGTGTGTGTATGTCAGAATCTCACTCCATCATCCAGGTTGGAGTGCAGTGGCATGCTCACAACCACCACAGCCTCCACCTGCTGGGCTCAGGTGATCCTTCTACCTCAAGCCTTCCAAGTAGCTGGAACTACAGGCGTGCGCTACTGTGCCCAGCTTATTTTTTGATTTATTGTAGAGATGAGGTCTCACCAAGTTGCCCAGGATGGTCTTGAACCCCTGAGCTCAGGCAGTCCTCTCGCCTCAGTCTCCCAAAGTGCTAGGATTACAGGCCTGAGCCACTGCTCCTGGCCTAAAATGCCCCTTTTTAAATACGACCTACTTACCTTGAATGATTGAACTCTTTCGTGACAACTGCTTTTATATCTCACAAAGCATGCCTCACGAAGATTTTTAATGTTACATAAGGTTATTTTTCCTTTTTTCTTTTTTCAGAACTTAAACCACGTGGAGTAGCAGTCAATTTGATTCCAGGGTTACCAGCATATATCCTGTTTATGTGCGTTCGACATGCTGACTATCTGAATGATGATCAGAAAGTGAGGTCATTGCTCACATCAACAATTAACAGCATCAAAAAAGTGTTGAAGGTCAGTTTATGTTTACCAGAATTCTCATCATGAATGTTAACAATGCCCAAATCTGCACAGAGATCCCTTTCCTTCCTTAGACTTTAGCTAAATTGCCTGTTATGAACTTCCCAGGCTTAAGTGGAAACGTCCACTGAGGAAACATTCACGGGGAAGAATGTTTCTATGTGTCTATGTACCTTCTCTCAAAACAGGGATCAAGTTGAACAGTAATCAAAACTAACTTGATATAGTTGCATTTAACTGTGAAGTAAATTAAGCTTCTTTATGGACAGAAATTGTTTGCTTTGAGGTTTTACTTGGAACTAAGTTAAAAATATTTAGTAGAGCCCACATACTTAGGGAACGTGATACTGAAGTTAAAATAGATTTTAAATGACTTCAGTAATATGGCTTATTCATATAAAAAGACATCTGATAGAACATTAAATTTTTTTTTCCTCTTATTCTCCAACTCACCCCATAATTTTCCCTGTTACCTAAAATGCCTGGTTCCATGTGAAAAGCAACACACAGATGCTAGTCAGAGAAGAAAGACTTGGAAAAGAGCAAAATTATATAAGCAAGCAGAAAGCCTACATAACTCAGTAGTCACTGAGTCACCTTGCATAATCCTCCTCCTGACTCTTTAGAGAAACAATGAACATCATATTTAGTTTTAAATGAAGTGTTTCTGTGAGGAGCTAAGATAATGTGCTCCAGGTATTTTGCTTTGTGATTATCAAATTTAATGGGAATTTTTAGGATAGAGGTAAATGGATAATTAACATGTCCAGTGGACTCTCTTAAATCTAAGATGTCTTTCATGAACTTTTTTTTTTGAGTCAGGATCTCACTCTGTTGCCCAGGTTGGAGTGCAGTGGCACAATCACAGCACTGCAACCTCAACATCCTGGGCTCAAGCGATCCTTCCACCTCAGCCTCTTGAGTAGCTAGAACTAAAGGCATGAACCAGCATGTCCAGATAATTTTTTTTTTTTTAATTTTTGTAGAGACGAGGTCTCACTATGTTACTTAGGCTTATCTTGAACTTTCCACTTCAGTCTTCCAAAGTGCTGGGATTGTAGGTGTGAGCCTCCACACCCAGCTCTTCTGTGAACTTTTGAAAAACTGTAGTAAAACATACAGAATATAAAATTTACCATTTTAACCATTAAGTGTACGGTTATATGGCATTATGTATATTCACATTGTTACATCATCACCATTTATCTCCAAAACCTTTAAATCCCCCCCAATTGAAATGCTAAGCTATTAAATGCTGACTTCTCATTCCTCCCTCCCTAAGCCCCTGGTAGTAAACTTGTGACAAACACTGGTTCTCTGTCTATCCCTACTGTGCAGATATTCTATGTTGTTATATTCTACAGTGATTACTAAAGCATGTAGTTTCTGATGATTTGACATTTAAAAGGTGATGACTGTCTTCCAAATATAATTCATTTTATTTTTAATATACTGATATGATGTTGCACTTTGATAGACTACAAATTTTGCTTTAATCAACTCCCACAAATACAAAACAAATCACAAAATTCTCTCCCTCTCATATAAATTAGAAGAAGATATGTATCAATTGACTTATTATTGTACCAAAATGTCCAAAGATTTTATGAAGGAGTGGGTTTAGAACATAACACTCTTTTAATGCCATTTAAAATTAATGTGCATTTGTCTCACTTCCCAGTTTTGAATTGAAGTATATTTGTCTTGCCTCCCTGTTCTGATTTTAGCAACTGGTTTTGTGCCGTGGGCACTAAAAGTAGCATAAGTAGCCAAAAATATAGAGAGAATCCATATAGTTTTTAGCTTACAGATCATTTTTATTTAATAAATCAAAAACTACAAATAGCTTTAAGTTCACCTTAATTGTTTTCTCTATGATATAGAACATAAACTAACATTGATTTATTAATTTAACCAAATAGATTTTGTTCATTACAAAAATATTACTTTGGCAAACTCAATATAGTAATTTTTTGAGTAAAGAGGTGGCATTCAGTTTTAATTTTTTTTAATTCCCAAATATGTAAATGTCCTTTTATTTTGAAGTAATATGGACTATCTCATTTTTATGAGAACAGAGGACACGCTTAGTGCTCATACTGCAAGCAATTGTATCTGTAGAATTAATTTCAAAGTGGCTTACCGAAAGCTGGAACCATAATGACAAAAAATGCTGAATTATTTCCAGAATGAGGTCCTCTCTTTAAGTTTTAATCAACTTTGTCTGGTAATCAGCTCCTTGGTATAGGTTCAGTTGCAAACATCTGACCGAAGCTATTCCAAGGATCTCTGGAGGTTGACTGTCTCCCAATCTGTATTCATTGTCTTTGTCAGCTAAGCTCAGAGCCTCCACTAGGAACAGTTGTAATCCAGATTTTGGAAGGGGTAGTTATTTTTAGCCAAATCTATGCTTAAGCCATAGGATGATTTTCTGTGTTTGGGAATGCCATAAAATTGTATTTACTTTCTGCAATCCTCCTAAAACTGGAAAGCTGTGTAGCTAGGTCTTTCAGGTATTTACTTAGTAGTAAAGTCAGGACCTTAACTCAGTTATTCTGTCTCAGCTAAAAAGACTAAGTGAGGTTTGATATCCTTCAGGACTTTTTTTCTTGAATTCTCTTAAGGAAAATATTCTCCACAATTTAAGAGCTTTAATTTGTTTTGTATTTGCTTAAAAAGATAAATTTTATTTATGCAGAAAGTGATCTTATGAGAAATCCATCATTTTCTATGATGTGTCCTGCTCGTAGTACACTTTTACTACATAAAGCCACTACTAAGAAACCAAAGGCAGGTATTCTCATACTGCTTCTAAGAACCCAAGTTTTGTTGTGATACATTAGTAGAATTACTGGAATATATGATACCATGCAGGAAAAAAAATGAGCTTCTAAGATCATTTAATTCTTGGCTCCTGTCCTGGGTAAAATATTTTCAGTTTTCCCATACTGAAAGGTTTTTTGAGAAAAGCAGCAAACATTGATATTTCTATTCTTCCCATATCCTGTTCATCCAAATGGTTTAGTTTACAAATACACAGTGGTCCTGAGTATGTCCACATTCAGCCCCTGGGAAGCATTCTGAGCCCCAGCGTCTTTTTCAGGCACAATGAGTTTCTCTCTTCTCCCTGAACTGTGGCCCAGTCCTGGCAAAAGGCCAACCAGCTTTGCCCTGGCTGTGCTGTTCAGTGCAGGACTCCCTTCAGCCTGTATCCATTTCACACCTCAGAAATTTTATCTTCCTGTTGACAAGATTTTTAATCTAATCTGGTTTTCAGTGCTTCAAACTTTTTCATATTCTTTATTATAGTATTAATTATTCTCCTTTGTGCTTTTCTAATTTTCTTCATTAACCCCAAGGAAAGTTGATTTGGGCTAGCTGTGTCTTGGTGAATTTTTTCTGCTTAAAGGTACAGCTAAATTAACATCAACTTAATTTTCTGTGGCAAGAAAATGAATGCCAAGAAGTAACAACCAACCAATGAACCTGGTGGCTAAAATTCTGCTAGCAATGATGTAAGACCTTACAATTGCAATGTGATTTATTTTTGTAACTGTTTATAATGGTAACTGAAAGAAGTGGGCCTTCTGGTATCTGTTCACTTTTACTCAGGTTATTATTTCCCTAAGGAAAATGCAAACTTAGACTTATTCTCTCTTTCAGAAAAGAGGTGATGATTTTGAGACCGTCTCCTTCTGGCTCTCTAACACATGCCGATTTCTGCACTGCTTGAAGCAGTACAGTGGAGAAGAGGTGAGAAGACTTTGATTACAAAACCAACATGCCATACTTTCCCTGACCTTTTTAAGAAATATTTTAAAAGCAGAAAATGTTTAACCATTTGTTAATTTAGAAACCCACATTCAGATGTGGCTTAGAAGTTCATTGCTTTGTTTGATGTCCTTATCTACAAAATAGTGAATTGGAGTGTAACATAGTTTCTTCCCTCTGAAAGTTTATGAGAAAGCACAGCAAAAATAAAACAAGCATCAACCAATGGACAGTTACCAGAAATGAAACTTTTTGTCACTATGTTGAAGATGGCATTTTAAGAACTAATATCAAATACTGAACTATTTAAAGAAAGTATTCAATTTTGGCTTGCCATAGTACATTAAAGGCAATCAAAGATAAGACACGATCAAAGATCATGTTGCTTTTGATTTGCCCCCAAAAAAGCTGTCTTGCTTTTGTTTGTAGGGATGTGTTTATTAGTTGTTTGATAGGCTTCAACATACTTTAAAATTTTGTAGAATACTGTTTATTAAGGGCTGCTTAATATGTATCAGAAAGCACTTACTGTACACAATGTTATTTATGTTATTTAATTCTTATAGCATCTCTATGAAGTAGGAATTATGGCTCAGTTTTACACATGAAGAAACTGAACCTTCCTGAGGCTCACCGATTTGCCCAAGTCCTCTTGAGTGTAAGGAGCAGAGCTGGAATCCTAGGTCTGCCCACCTTTGAGGGCTTGTGGCCCTAACCATCTGTCCCCCATGCTTCCCCATTGCCTGGAGGGCAGCAAAGAAGCTGATCGGCAGCACTTGCTGAGCATCCAGAGGCAGAGGTCTGTCCTGGCAAATGATGGAAAGTACAAAGATGAGCAAGACATGATCCCTGAGGAGGTGGGACTGACAGACCAGAATCCCACAGAGGGGTCATTGACTAGATCCTGTCAGTCCCCACTTTTAGACCGAGTCATTAGGTAGGTTATAGGGAGACAGATGCCTGGCTGCAGGCAGACTCCATTAAGTAAGCATTTGCCTTTATCAGACAGAGTCAGGGAAGTAGCAGGTTGAAATGCAACATGACTGAAAAGAGCACCTGCTATTCAGTTAGCTTTCCATTTCAACAGATACCCCGAAAGATTCCATTCTGAGTTCTGACAGAAAAATCATGGTGTGGATACCATGAAGTACAGTAATGGTAATTTTTTATGTATTCACCAGTCTCTGTAGAAATTGGTCTATTTCAAGAAGATTGCATATGCCCTTTGGGTGTAATATTTATGAATAGGACTGTATTTAATGAAGTGAAGTTAAGAAATTAGTACTTTGGAAAATTTAGGGTTTGGCGGTAAACCTGCTGTTTCATAAGGGAAACACTCATTCATTTTTTAAGTTAAGTTTCCCACCTTGTTTCATTGACATTGCTATTAAAAAGACTTAACTGCTAGGTTGCCAAGTTTAGATATTCAAAAGCTGGTATGAAGTGGAGGAGTGATATGATGGAAGCAAACAAACACATACCTGTATTTGAGAATAACTATCCTGGCATTCTTGTGTGGGAAACTCCTTGAGGAAAAAAGAGCATGCTGATCAAACTGATCATTAAACAGACAGAAGAGACATTTTACTTCATGTGTGTCATTAACTTTGCATTATGACTCTAGGGCTTTATGAAGCACAACACATCTCGCCAGAATGAGCACTGCCTCACCAATTTTGACCTGGCTGAGTATCGGCAGGTGCTGAGTGACTTGGCCATTCAGATCTACCAGCAGCTCGTGCGGGTGTTAGAGAACATCCTTCAGCCAATGATCGGTAAGGCCAAGGTACCACTGAACATCACAGCCTGTCATACGTGCCCGTTAATAGGTGACCACCAGTGGCACATGTTCCAGGGCATGTATTCATATGGAGAACATAAAATAATGAGATATAGGCCTAAAACTAGCTGAATAATTTAAGAAACCCAGCCATGGTTAACTGATGTGTCATACTCACTGCTTCCATGTGATTGAGACAGCAGTATCTGGTTTCCCTCTGCAGTGTGTAATGCCTCCCTTAAGACTGGGTTACGCCTTATACCCAGCAGTAGATCTCATACTTTGTCTGGTTTTCTAAAACACTTTAAATTTTGGACTATAACACTACTACACAGGACTTCCTAGGGGCCCATGTAGAACCAAGGAGACTGGAGGGCTTGCGCTTGGTCCAGTAGGCCACAGTGAGATAGCTGGGAAGGTGCTGGAGCAACAGCAACAGGTCTCACAGGCTTATCTCAAACACTCCATGCTGAGCTGAACATCTCATGCCCCCTATGGACTTAGACAAAGCAACTTGGTTTAAAGCAGTAGTTTTTCATTGGTTAAGTGACTGAGGAGTGTGTATATGTGTTTCTGTTTTCATGTGTTCAGCCACATGTGTGATTCCATGTATCTCTTTGTATGTATGCACCCATTCTGGGTATTTATTTATATACTATATAGTGATACCCATATTCCTGGGAAATGTGTAGCATGTATGAATAGAATTGGGAGGCATGTACAAATTGAAAACTGATAATTTTGAATACATTAAATTTTTTTAAAATTTAAGTTACCAAACACTATTATCTGCAGGCATATTATCAACAGACTCTTTTGTTTGTTTAAGACAAGGTCTTACTTTGTTGCCCAGGCTGGTGTACAGTAGTGCAATCATAGCTCACTGCAACTTCAAACTCCTGGGCTCAGGCAAACCTCCCACCTTAGACTTCTGAGTTGCTGGGACTATAGGCACGTGCCACCATGCCCAGCTAATTTTTTTGTATTTTTGTAGAGCTAGGATCTCACTATGTTGCCTAAGCTGGTCCCATACTCCTGAGCCCAAGCAACCATCCCATCTTGGCCTCCCAAAGTAGTGGAATTATGGACATGAGCCACCGTGCTTGGCCTATCAGCAGGCTCTTGAAGCTACTACCAGCTGTCTTCTCTTTCCACACCATGTGTTTGCCACACTTCTATAACTTCTAAGGGCTCCTAGTACTCCATTTGCTTTCACAGGCACACAGTCCACCAACTAGAGACAAAAGAGGCTGAGGAAGCCTTGGGAGATGGCAGTGTTTCCTTCAGTTGTCCTCTAAAGGGTCATGAGTTTAAGGCACACTAGGTCAGCTGAAATGCAAGAGGTAACACAAGACACAAAGAAGGTCAGCTTTGGCCAATCTTTCTTCTCTTTTGCCTGTTTTTTATTAGATAAACAAGACCTCTAAGATATCTCACTCTAAATCATCCCTGTCTCCCAGCCATTTAATAGCAACAACAAGTGCTCAGAGTCAGTATGAGGATCTGGGAAATCAGAGTTTAGTACAACGAAGTATAAAAATGAACCCAGCATGGCCTTTGCTCTCAAGGGCCTCTCAGTCAGGGCACGGGTATCTCAAGACATTTTAGGGGAGGCATAAGTCAAATGCTATGAGAGCATAATAGGGGAGCAGCAGTGACACAGATGAGAAGACTAAGTCCTGGGAGACTGAGGCTAGCCCAAGACTGCTATTATGGAAAGCCCAGGACAAGGAAGGGCTCAGCTCTCTAGTCCCACACTACTGCCCTCTCCCAGGTCTCCTCCAAGACTATTGTCAATGTCCTGCCTTTCTTCCTATATTGCCTGTGAAACTCAAATACCATGAAGAATGTTTATCTTAACCTTAACTGCTACCTCTCTCAAAAGCCCACCCAAGAGACCATACACCTGTGTTATCACAAGGTTCTTACTTCTTATTTTAGGAAATACAACATTAAGATTACTTAATTTCATGGGAAATTTTTGCATTTAAGATTATTCCTTCATAAAAGTTTAAAACCCAGAAGCCATTTTTTGGTGAAATTTCTTCTCTATTTTGATCCACAAATCGTTTTCCTAAGTTGAATGTACACGTGTTGAAGCCCATGCATGTGCATGCAGGTGTACACATGAAACAGTTTCCTTCAAATCTTCTCCTCTAACAATTGAAATCTTCCAACAGTCTCGGGCATGCTAGAGCATGAAACGATCCAGGGTGTGTCCGGGGTGAAGCCCACAGGGCTGAGAAAGCGAACCTCCAGTATTGCCGATGAGGGCACCTACACGCTGGATTCCATCCTCCGGCAGCTCAACTCCTTCCACTCAGTCATGTGTCAGCATGGCATGGACCCAGAACTGATCAAGCAGGTGGTCAAGCAGATGTTCTACATCGTGGGGGCCATCACCCTGAACAACCTCCTCTTGCGGAAGGACATGTGCTCCTGGAGTAAAGGCATGCAGATCAGGTGAGCAAATGCCAGCACCTGTGACAGCCTCTTCTTACTGCCCAGCTGGCCTGGCAGGGGTGGGAACTGGTGGCTTATCTGCGGTTTATGCATCTGACGTCTGGTGCCCTGGACCCCAGCAGCAGTGGAGGAACTGGCACAGAGCCACTTCCTCTTGCCTGGCTGGACTTCCCAGGTCTCCTCACTGCTCCTCATCTGTGCCTTGCCAGCAGGCTCATCACATTCTCGACAGGAAACCATCCTCCACTGCAAAGCAAACTTGAGGGAGTGAAGGGATGACACTTCCTCACCTTTTGTGTGTGTTTAAATTATTCTATAAGAAAATGTTAAAGTATAATCAAGATTTATAATGTTTGCTCTTAGAAATATACTTTGACAAAATACCTTTTTGTACCTACAGCAACAAGAACAGGTCTAATAGATCTTTTAACACCTGAAATATATCCCCTCTATATTTTAAGAAAAGCTACACTTAATTGTATGCCACACTGCGTTTCACATAACCTCATCATTGTAATAGAATTGATTCTTTTTTGCAAATATTTATTTTAAAACAGCTAAAATATTCACCAAGATGGGGGACAAAGGAGTTTTCCTACAAAAGTCTTTAGTTTCCCAATCTCAGGAAACCTTAGTGTTCCTCTCAAATTTTCCATCTGACCTATATCCAATTGTAGTTAATGGTGAAAAGATAATGCCTTCCCTCTACAAGCTTTCCCCATACATGTGAAGGCACCTGCCATAATATCATAAGAGCTCCTATTTGCCCGATTACTGAGTTCTGATTGTGTCTCCAGTCTTAGAACCACTGTTACTTGCTTGGCCACCTCATGAAACCTCAGCATCTTTGTAGTTTCTTTGTCTCTCCTTATTTGGTGTCTCTATCTCTCCCAGGGGTCCTCCCTTTCCTGTCTCTCCCTCCATCCCTGAGCTTCCCAGGCCACTATCTCCATCTCCCAGGCTCTTCCCTAAAGAGTCTTGAGCACAAAATATTTGTGGAGGGATCTGTTTATTCAGTTACCTAATTTAAAGTTTGCCTTAAGGAAGAGCAGGTACTTAATTAAGGATTATCAAATCTCATCCTGCAAAAGTAACCCTTTTCTGAAATTATAAGAGAAGCTAGAAAGTGTTTTCAGTTAGCTTGCCAGCAAGGACAGAGCCATATTGTATATTCTATTTTGTTTATTAGCAAGCCTTTTAACTTTTGCTATAATGATTGATTTCCTTCTTACGTTAAAGAGAATTACATTCCCTTGTCATTTAATCTTATGTAATTATGATTATTAGTCTCATGACTATTTATGATAAGTCTTTAAGCATAGCTGATGAGATTTTTTAAAATTGAACAAAAATGCTGCCTGTCATTTTAACAGAAAATTCTGACAAGGCCACACACACAAAATTAAGACATTTATGACAACATTCAGCAAATTTGCATTCTCTCATTCACTCTCTCTTTTTTTCTTTTTCTTTTTCTTTTTTTTTTTTGGTATAGGTACAATGTCAGTCAACTGGAAGAATGGCTACGTGACAAGAATCTGATGAACAGTGGGGCTAAAGAAACCTTGGAACCTCTCATTCAGGCTGCTCAGCTTTTGCAAGTGAAAAAGAAAACAGATGATGATGCAGAAGCCATTTGTTCCATGTGCAATGCTTTAACTACTGCCCAGGTAAAGCAACTTTTCCTTTAATGAAATGATTTAACATTCATCAAAGATGATCTTTAGGGAAGTAAAGAAGTCTTTTAATTATTGCTTGTGTCTCTGAACAGTCAGAAAAGATGAATATCTGTACAGAACTTTTTTTTTTAGTTGGAGTCTCACTCCGTGGCAAAGGCTGGAGTGCTGTGGCACACTCACCGCCACCCCAGCTCGACCTGCTGGGCTCCGGCGTTCCTTCCACATCATCCTTCCAAGTAGCCAGAACTACAGCCGCGCTCTACCATACCTGGGTCATTTTTTATTTATTATAGAGAAAAGGTCTCGCCAAGTTGCCCGGACTCATCTCGAACCCACGGGCTAAGGCAGCTACTCAGCTTGGCCTCCCAAAATGCTGGGATTACAGGCTAAGCCACTGAGCCCAGCCATAGATCTTAAAGAAAGGTGATTTTGCCAGAAATTAATACATTTCAGTGCTGGTCGCAGTCATCGACATTCAATATTCAGCAAATATTTATTGAGTGCCTACAGTGTTCTACATAATGTTGCAGGCACTAGGATACCATAAACAAAACAAAGTCCCTGCTCTCATGAAGTATACATCCTGTGGAGCTTATATCTCATAAAACTATTTTCCATATTATTTGATAATTGAATTATTCTTTAGACTTCTTTTTTTAAGACAGTTAATTCTTGTTCCTTCACTCAACAGATAACTAATTGAGCTACTATCGCAAGGCACCATACTTATTGCAGGGGAGATGCTTTAGTAAAGAAGGAAACATCCTTGCCTTCAAAGATCTTACAGTTTAATAGGAAAGACAGACCTGACTCTAACATAGAGATTCTAGAAAATTCTATAATAAGAGGCGTAGAGTCAGTGCTGAGAAATGAAAACCAACTGTGTTCAGGGAAGCTCCCATCAAGCTGGGCCTTGAGTTTAATGAAGTGAGAGGATGAGAAGGGCATTTGAGACAATGTTTTTGGCAAGGCACAAGCATGAGAATGTCTATTTTTCAGTCATTTTCTGTGCTGACTCTTGAACTTTCTTAATGTTCATCACATATCCCATAACATAGAAATCTTCAGTTTCGCCCAGTACTGTTAAAACTCAATCAGTAGATAATTGGAATCAAGAGTTGCAGCTTTTTAATAATGCTGAATTCATATTGATGTAAATTCTTGCTAAGAATAAAGCAGAATCACACTACTGAATAATGGTCTTGAGATTTTCCCCCCATTTCTGCCAAATGTGAAAAACAAGAACACCTTGGGGGAAGCCCCACTTTATAAACGTTTGCTGCCATTCAACTTTTAAAAAATATACTTTAAGCCTGTAACCCCAGCACTTTGGGAGGTGAGAGGATTGCCTGAGCCCAGGAGTTCAAGACCAGCCTGGGCAACTTGGTGAGACCTCATCACTACAATATATCAAAAAATTGACTGGGCATGGTAACGCACACCTATAGTTCTGGCTACCTGGAAGGCTGAGGCAGAAGGATCACCTGAGCCCAACAGGTCAACACTGGGGTGGGTGGCCATGAGTGTGCCACTGCACTCCAGCCTGGGCAACAGAGTGAGACTCTGACTTTAAAAAAAAATATGTATATATATATATACACACACACACACAAACATATATACTTTTATACCTTAATATATTTAAACATATTTCAAAGAGTGAGGTAGACCTATAGTTTATTTATTTAGCAAATTTTATTTAACAAAGTAGTCCTACATTATAAAATTCTAGTACTTGCCTCTGAGGAACTGACCCCTGATTTGGTTTGTCACCCACAGACCTTATGAACATGCCCACTTTCTAATTCACAACTCTCTGCTGCTCAATTTATTCTTTGTCTGTACATCAGCACTGTTCTGCATTCAATATTTTATTTTTATTTTGTTTTAATCAATTTACATTTAAGTAGCCAATTGTGGCTAGTGACTACTATTGTACTGATAAGCACACTTTTAGACAGTACCTTGGATATGGAACTTTCTACCTTTGTAGACAATTATTTATTTTCATTAGAAAAGAGACGTGTGACCACTTTACAAAATAAATTAATTTGACTTTTTTTGAGAGCAAGTGTCCCAAATGACTTTTTTTTTTTAAGATCATCATACTGTTTAATTAATTGGTTGATTTCTTTAGAGACTTTTGTTGTTATTTGTATTGTTCATTTATAATAGTTTATCTTTTATACAAATATGATTTTGAAAAAGACCATTCAAAAGAAATAATATTAATTCTATTCTTTTTTTTTCCCTTTTTTTAATTATAAAGATGTGGGGTACAATTCAGGGTTAGTTATACATACGTTGATTATGCAGGTACCCAAGTTGATGAGGTATCCCCTCCCTCCCCTAGCAGTTTCCCTCAACTGCCAATTCCTTTCTTATAGTATTATAATAACTGTTCAAGGTCCACTTATGAGTGAAAACATATGGTAATCTGTTCTTTGTTTCTGTGATAGATCACTGAGTATGATCGACTCAAAATCCATCCAGGTTGCTGTGAAGTCCATATGTTTGTCCTTTATAGCTGCATAATATTCCATTGTGTATATGTACCACATTTTTTTAATCCAGTCCAGCTTTGATGGGCAACATAGTTGTTTCCATGTTTTTGCTATTGTGAATAGAGCTGCAACAAACATACGTGTGCAGGTATCTTTTTTGTAGAATGATTTGAGTTCTTTCAGGTATATTCCCAATAGGGGAATTACTGGGTCATATGGAAGGTCAATTTCTAGTTCTTTCAGAAATCGCCACACTGTCTTCCAAAGAGGTTGCATTAGTTTGCATTCCCACAGCAGTGTAGAAGCTTTCCTTTTTCTCCGTATCCTCACCAGCATCTGTTGTTGCTTGTTTTATTAATGATGGCCATTCTTACTGGGGTTAGGTGGTATCTCAATCTTCTTTTGATTTACATTTCTCTGATGATGAGTGAGACTGAGCACTTTTTCATGTGTCTATTGGCTGCCCGTATATCTTCTTTTGAGAGGTGTCTGTTTGTGTCTTTTGCCTACTTTTTAATGGGGCTGTTTGTTTTTTTCCTTTCAGTGGATTTGAGTTCCTTGTAGATCCTATATGTTAGGCCTTTGTCAGATATACAGTTGGCAAATATTTTTTTTCCCCATTCTGTGGGCTGTCTCCCTGCTCTCTTGATGGTTTCTTTTGCTTTGAAGAAGCTTGTTAGTTTGATGAGGTTCCATTTGTCTATCTTATTTCTTAAGGAATGTGCATTTAGGTTTCTGAATAGGAATTGGTTGCCAGTTCCAATTTCCATAAGGGTGTCTCCTGTGTTTTCTAAGATTCTTATAGTTTGAGGTTTTACGTTTAGGTCTTTGATCCATTTAGAGTTAATTTTTGTGTATGGTGGTAGGTAGGGGTCCTGTTTCAATCTTCTGCATGTGATCAACCAGTTTTCCCAGCACCATTTACTGAATAGGTTCTCCTCTCCCCGGTGGTGGTTTTTGGAGGCTTTGTCAAAGTGAGCTGGTTGAGAAATTGAGGCTTTGCTTCCAATGGTCTATGTGCCTGTTCTTGTACCAATACCAGGCTGTTTTGATTACTGTAGGCTTATAGTAAAGTTTGAAGTCTGGAAGTGTGATACCTCCTGCTTTGTTTCTTTTGCTAAGGATTGTTTTGTCTATTCATGGTTGCTTATGTTTCCATATGAATTTCTGTATTGTCATTTCCAGGTCTGAGAAGAATGATGTTGGTAACTTAATGGGTATTGGGTTGAATCTGTAGATTGCCTTTGGTAGGATGGATATCTTAATAATGTTGATTCTTCCTATTCATGAGAATGGAATATTTTTCCATTTGTTTATATCTTCTCGGATTTCTTTGAGCAGTGTTTTAAAGTTTTCATTGTAAAGGTCTTTCACTTCTCTGGTTAGGAAGACGCTGAGATACTTCTTTGTGTGTGTGTGTGTGTGTGTGTGTGTGTGTGTGCCTATTGTGAATGGTAATGTGCTTTTAATTTGGGTCTCTGCCTGCTTGTTGTAGGTGTATAGGAATCCAACTGTCTTTTGCACATTTATTTTATACCCTGAGACTTTTCCAAACTCCTTTATCAGTTCAAGCAGGTTTTTGACAGATTCTCTTGGATTTTCAAGGTGTAGGATCATATCATCAGCAAAGAGGGATAACTTGACTTCCTCTTTTTCTATTTGGATACCCCTGATTTCCTTCTCTTGTCTAATTGCCCTAGCTAGGACTTCTAACACAATGTTGAACAAGAGGGGTGAGAGTGGGCAGCCTTGTCTTGTTCCAGTTTTCAGGGAAAATGTTTCCAGTTTCTGCCCATTTAACAATATGTTAAATGTGGGTTTATCATAAATGGCACTTATTATTTTCAGGTATGTTCCTTCTATACCTAGGTGTTTAAGGATTTTTATCAAGAAAGGATCTGGATTTTATCAAAAGCTTTTTCTGCATTAATGATATAATCATGTGGTTCTTATTTTTACATCTGTTGATGTATTTAATTACATTTATGATCTTACAAATGTTGAACCAGCCCTGCATCCTGGGGATGAAGCCTACTTGGTCATGGTGGATGATTTTTGAGATGTGTTTTTGGATTCAATTTGCTAGAATCTTATTGAGAATTTTTGCATCTATGTTCATAAGGGATATTGGCCTGTAGTTCTCTTTTTTTGTTGAATCTTTACCTGGTTTGGGTATCAGTATGATGTTAGTTTTATAAAATGATTTGGAGAGAATTCCATCCTTCTCAAATACCTGGAATACTTTCAGTTGGATTGGTATCAGTTCCTCCTTGTACATTTTGTAGAATTCTCCTGGAAAGCCATCTAGTCCAGGGCTTTTTTTTGTTGTTGGTAGTTTTCGCATGACAGAGTCAATTTCCTGGGTTGTTATTGGTCTATTTAGTGTCTCAATGTCTTCTTGTTTCAACCTAGGGAGGTTGTGTGATGTCAGAAAGTCCTCCATTTCATTTAGGTTATCAGGTTTGTTACCATATAGGTGTATGTAGTAATCACTGATAATCTTTTATATTTCTTCAGGGTCAGTTGTGATTTGATCCTTTGTATTTCTGATTGTGTTTATTTGGGCTTTTTGTCTCTTTTTCTTGGTCATTCTGGCTAGGGGTCCATCGGTCTTGCTAATTCTTTCAAAGAACCAGCTTTTTGTTTTGTTGATGTTTTCTATGATATTTTTGTTTTCTGTGTCCCATATTTGGGCTCTTATTTTGGTGATTTGGATTCTTCTGCTAAAGTTGGGGGTTTGGTGGTCTTCTCTTTCCAGCTCCCTTAGGTGATTTGTTAGGCTCTCAACTTCTGATCTTTCCTTTTTCTTGATGTATACTCGTAGAGACATAAATTCCCCTCTTAGAACTGTTTTCATGGTATCCCAGAGGTTTTGGTAAGATGTTTCTTCATTTTCATTTGTTTCCAGGAATCTTTTAATTTCTGCTTTGATTTCAGTGTTGACCCAGTAGTTGTTCAGCATCATGCTGTTTAGTGTTCATGTCTTTGTGGGCTTTGGGGAAATTTTGTTGGTGTTGATATTTATTTTTATTCCACTGTGGTCTGAGAATGTGCATGGCAAGATTTCAACATTATGGGATTTGTTTATGTTTGATTTGTGGCCAAAGATGCGATCGATCATGGAGTATGTTCCATGTGGTGATGAGTAGAATGTATATTCTGTGGTTGTTGGGTGGAATAGTCTGTAGATATCTATTAAGTCCATTTGGTCGAGTGTCAAGTTTAGATTCTCCTTGTTGATTTTTTGCCTCGATGATCTATCTAGGGCTGTTAGTGGGATATTCAAGTCCCCTGCTATAATAGTGTTAGTCAATATCTTTTTTTAGTTTACTTAGTAGTTGCTTTATAAATGCTGGTGCTCCTGTGTTGGGTGTATATATGTTTAGGATGAATATTTCTTGTTGATGGAGTGAACCTTTTCTCATTATGTAGTGTCCTTTTATATCTTTTTAAATTTTTGATAGCTTAAATGTTGTTTTGTCTGATATTAAGATCGCACCTCCTGCCTTCTTTTGTGATACATTTGCCTGGAAACTCATTTTCCATCCTTTAACTTTGAGTCTGTGTACATCCCTTATAGTGAGGAGAGTCTCCTGGATGCAGCAAATAATTGGGTCATGGTTTTTTTATCCAGTTTGCCATTCTGTGTCTTTTCAGTGGTGCACTTAATCCATTCACATTCAGGCTGATTATTGAAATGTGATTGTTTAACCCTGTCATGAAGTTCTTATAAAGTTTTTTCTTTGCTTGTTTTCTTTTAGCTTGGGGGTTGATGTATGTGTGTGTTTTCAAGTTTCTTATTGCACTGTATTCTCTGTTAATTCTGTGCTCTGCTGTTCTCTTGGGAAGTGTGTGATCATTCTTTTTTTTTCTTTCTTCTGTGCTTAATACCTGTTTAAGTGTCTCCTGTAGAGCTGGTCTGGAAGCTGCATAATCTCTTAGGTATTGAATGTCTGAGAAGGACTTTAATTCTCCATCACTGATGAAGCTGAGCTTAGCTGGATAGGAAATTCTTGGTTGAAATTGTTTATCTTTGAGGACTTTGAATATAGGGCTCCAGTCCTTTCTTGCTATTAGTGTTTCTGCTGATAGGTCTGCTGCTGTTCTGATTGGTTTTCCCCAGTAGATAGTCTGACCTTTCTCTCTTGCTGCCTTTAGGATTTTTTCTTTTGTACCTACTTTGTGTAGGTGAATTACTATGTGTCTAGGGGTTGGTCTTCTCATTTGATATCTTGTGGGGGTTCTTTGTATCTCTTCTGCTTGGCTGGTCACATCTCTGATGAGATGGAGAAAGTTTTCTTGGATTACTTCCTGGAATACTTTGCTCCAAGTTGTTCTCCATTTCTTGTTCTTCTTCTGGGATATCAATCAGGCACAGGTTTGACTTCTTGATATAATCACACATCGCTTGTAGGCTTTGTTCTTTCTTTCTATGTTTTTTACATATCGGGTTAATTCCATGTTTGGTCTTCAAGTTCTGAGATTCTTTCTTCAGCTAGATTAATTCTGCTTTCCATGCTTGTCATCTTGTTATTTATTTTCTGGATGAAATTTTTTATTGCCAAAATCTCTGTTACAAGTTCTTTCAGTGTTGCATCTTATCTTTCTTGAGTCTTATTCACTCCTTCCATCCATTCCCTAATCCCTGTTGTATTCTGAGGCCAGTCGTTGGTGACTTCCATTGTTTGGGCACCAAGGTTTGATTTTTCAGTTTTGTCTTGGTACCTTTGGAATTATCTGTGGTCTTCCTTTGGTTTTTCCTCATTTGTGACAAATCTCTTGTTTTTCTCTTTAGTTCTGTTTTCAGTGTCAGTGGGAGAGGCTTTCCCTTCTGATGTTTGCTCAGTCCTGTATTCTTCCCTGATCCAGGCTCTGGATTTGTTCTATTTTGAAATAGGATGGTGGATGGGAAACTTTGCTGTCTCTTGTAGTTTTTGAAATTCAAATAAAGTAGGGGATGGGGCACTAGGATTCAGAAACTACTTGCAAATTTCAGTGTTCACTTATTGTGGTATGTGTTCCCTGAGATCCACTCCCCACCACCACTCTATATGCTGATGCAATCAGAAACCAATGCAAAAAACAATTGAACACACAAACATACACACACCCCAAAACAAACTGGAATAACAACAAAGTGTAACAAAACAACAACAAAAAAAACAAGAAAACTAAACATACACACACATACACATGCCTATCACAAAGTGAATAGAGAAGAAAAACAGAAAGACCAGGGGGAAAAAAAAGGAATTCAGATCAAACTCTCACATATATTGAAACACACCTTAAACTATATAAAATGAAAATAAAAAAACACAGAAGAACAAATGAGCAAAACAAACCAAAACAATGAAAATGAAATCTGAGCATTCAATCGTTCATATATACACATAAACAGAAAACGACAAATAAAAGAAGAAAGAAACAGAAAAAGAAAAAAGTTGGGGGGATGCAGATCAAACCCTCACATACACATTCATGCACAAAGGAAAAATATTTTTTAAATAGATGAACTAACAAACAAAAAATTTTTTTAAATTAAAAAAAAAAGAAATAAAACCTGCCCTCTTGTGGCAGGCCCTGTAATTGTTCCTCTAATCAGGTCTCTCCTGCAGAGCCACCTCTTTCACTCCTCAGTGTCTGAAGCAGGGAAGGAGGAGGGGCAGTGGAGGTGGGCGGGGCTGCAGTTCTCCCCTCCCACTCTCCTATGGTCAGGGAGATCTCCTCCAGAAGGGAGGTTAGGGATTATCTCTTCCCCAGGTATTTATTCACAGGGCCTATCCTGGAATGGAGTTCTCCTATTACAACTGACGTCTAGGCTTCACCTGGGTTTGTCCCTTTCAGTCATGGTCCAGCAATGTGGGTCTGACCTTCAGAGGATTGCTGGGGAGGAGGGGGTTTGGGTCAGTCCTGGACTCACCACTGATCTCTTTGGAGTCCTTCCTCATACTTTTCTGGCCACATCCTTTGTCCCTCAGTTGGATCAGGGTAGGGGGTAGGGCGCCCTGGAACTCAGCACTCTTCAGGTCCCTCCGAAGTTTGTGCTTTCGGGCTATTCCCCCTGGGTAGTTGATCCCTGAGTAGTTGATCCCTGAGTAGTTGATCCGCCAGTCACAACAGTCGGGTCTGTTACTCCATGGTAAGCAAGTGGGAGCCCTTTCCTGCCCTGCCTTCAAGATGGTGGTGGGGTGCCTCTCTTGTCCTCTTCCATGGGACTTTGCCTCTGGACTCCCACTGCATCCCCTACTGCCAGTGCCTGCCAGGCACTAAAGTGGTGAAGTAAAGCCTGGAGTTGGCAGTCTCTCCTGTCAATGGTGAGGGAGAGCCTGGGGCAATAGTCTCTCCCTGCCGCTTTTCACAGGAAAACTTGTGTTTGTTTTAAATAAAATTTTTTAAAAGTACTTGGCTTCTGTGACCTGGGAAGAGCCAGGGACCAATCAGAGAACCTGCAGCACCAGCTATTGCACCAAGGGCCTGGCCACTTGCTCCCGAGCCCCTACTTAGACAATCTCTCCCAGCATTTTCTTCCCAGTAAGGGCTATTTTGATTTAAAAACAAAAAAAAAGAAATAAAATGGCGCTCGGCTTCTGCATCCCAGGAATCACTAGGGTGCAATCCCAGAAGCTATGGCACCAGCCGCTGCTCCAGGAAAACCCTAGCCGCTAGGTCCCTAGACCTCACTCAGTCAGCACTCACACGCCCACTCGCTCACCAGCATGTACACAAAATTTTCCATACACTAACTCATCACGCGGGAACTCGCGTAGTCCAAGTGATTTGGCTGCCATCTTCCCAACCTCCTCATGTTCTTTTTTAATATGGCCAGATACACGTTTTTATATGAAGAGAGCAGGTTGCAGAATATTCTTAATAGGATGAATTCCGTTAGTATAAAAATAATATAAGCTAGAATATGGAGTGAAAGCAGGTAGATGGATACTTAGGACATGGTTGATAGTTGCCACTTTGGGAGACTGGAAGAATGGGGTGAGGATTCTTTTATTTTCATGTTTTATTCTTTTGTATTGTTTGAGTATTTTTCTAAATTTATATGGCTTCTTAAAATATTACACAAATATTACATTAATAATTCTCTTATAAAAATCTGAATAGTAAAGGTAAGTGTGCCCTTCAGACCAGCTGCTTCTTCCTTCTTGTCCCAACCTACCCCTGAATAGAACGGAAAACTGTATGCACAGATCCTCTTAATCTTCCAGATTATAGGTCCCCAGTGTGTATTTACTAATATGCCAGAAACCTTGACCATGTCTTTTCTCACAGATTGTCAAAGTGTTGAATCTGTATACCCCAGTTAACGAGTTTGAAGAAAGAGTCTCTGTGTCATTTATTCGTACTATACAGGTAAGAGCTCTTGCCTTCCTTTTCCTTTGATCTACCAACATAGTCTTTTGAATGAACATTTTATGATTTATTGAAGGATAATGTGTTTTTATCTTTTATTACATTACTCTATCTTATTTTACAGTACACTGGTACACTGACTTTTTTGACAAAAGTTTAATGGGAAAAGGAAGTGATTCTAAAATGAAGATAAATGTTCTTCATTAGTTGAGCATTTTTTGGTAGAAAACAATCTTTCAGATTCAAATAACTAATGCTTTGTTTATTTTCTTTTTTCTTAACTTCTCAGATGCGTTTACGAGACAGGAAGGACTCTCCTCAGCTGCTCATGGATGCTAAACACATCTTTCCTGTCACCTTTCCTTTTAACCCATCCTCCCTCGCACTCGAAACCATCCAGATTCCAGCCAGCCTAGGCTTGGGATTCATTTCACGGGTCTAAAAGTGATGTCCAAGCAAACATTGACAATTTATTTCTTGCCTGAAATAAGAATTTGTTGTTTCCAGTGAGCTACTCAAAGTACAAAATACATTTTTCAAGAGAAAGAACTGGTTATCTCCCAAACAAGAGGTTATTAACTGGAAATCTCCCTAGAATATTTTCATCACCTTGGAAACAAAGATAGACTCTTTGTGCTGTGTTACCTTTATAGCAACACTCACCCTTGACCAGTTAGTTATCCTCAGTTTACATACAAGTGAATGATAGCAGGAAGGGAAAAAAGGAGGAATGAAAGTAAGGAGGGGGAAATGTGTTTTCAGCTGCCAGCATTTATTTTAAATCTTTAGCACTGCATTTAAATGGGATAAAAAACATATATTCTGTATATGAGCTGTTGTTAAAGGCAACAACAAAAAACCTCCTCTGCACTAAACAGAAGAATCAAAAGAAAGTCTCCACTGAGCACATAACGAATCAGTTTAGGAATTAGTTATGTTGGTATTGTCAAACTGGATCAAAGAAATAAACTGGCAATATGTAAAGTAATTGGTTAAGCAACTTCCTTATTTGTGTCAGTATGATAAAGAAATTAAAAGAATGTTGGTTTGCTATATAGCATAGATGTCCATCTGTACTGTAGTTTACTGAGCATTTTAAATTGCTGCTACATACTGTCTTCTTAAATTGTAAGTGATATTCTTATTAGGCATCACAACAATAAGCTTCTCTTTTATCAACTCTGTTTACAATGCAATCAGATCACAATTTTAACTGGATTATATGCAAATATCTACAGATTCACCTGCACAAGTAGCAGACACTGGAAAGTCATGTAGTAATATGACAAAATGCTTGATATTTAGGGATAGGTTTAGACATAGTGGCTATTGTTGATGTCATTATTTATTCAGGATGTACATTGATGTGTTCATTAATTTTCCCTGGGTGGATATTAGGAACAGTATTCTGTGAAGTAACTAATTTTTAGTTACCAGATCTGATTCCTGCAGTGCATACTTTCAATCTGGACAGGATTTCTTTCTTAATTTATTAATAATTAATTTCATCCACTATCGAGAAAGGATTATCAGAATAGTCCTGATTCAGGTCTTGATACTTTGATTATCCTATAAATTATGCAAAAGAAGGTGTATAATAAATATTTAATTACGATTCAGTTTTTTAAGGCTGTGCAATTGCTATAAATGTTCTCAGATACCACTAGATACTTTAAAAAACATCATATTAGAAATACTTTAAGAAGACTTATATAAGAAATATAAGAAGATTGTTGAATTTTATAGAGAATTTGTTTCAGTAAGACCAAATCCTATAAGTTTTCATTCTGAAATTCTAATTAAACATATTCACCATTTTCCTAGAAATTTTATATAATAATCCTTCAGGTTGTACAAAAGCAAATTCTTAGCTTTAATTAGAAACTCTGGTTTGGAATTGCAGTTATAGATTACATAAGTTAACTATTAGATGGTCTATAAAAATGACAAATCTTATTAAAATATGTGCAATATTATTCATGGAGGTCAAAACAGTTTCAAATCAGTGATAAAGATTGTTATTAAGAGATAAATACTGTCTGTTAACTTATTGGGCCTCAACTTCTTTGTTGTTAAGAGAGTTGGACAACTGATTCTTGAGGTCTCTTCTACATCTAAAATTCTCTCAGCAGTTGGATTCTAGAAAAAAGAGCTGCAGTTTCTCAGTAAGTCCATCCTCTGGTTGAAGGATCAATGTGTAGTGCCTGTCAATTCCTTCGGATTAATAAGATGTAAAGTCACAAGTTTGTATAGCTGCAACCTTTCTTAAATGTACATGATTTATGACTTGCTTTTAGAAGGTCCTACTATATTTGTATTATTTGAAAGTTAATTAGTTTAAGTAATTTTTATTATATCATGTACTGCTTCATTCAACTTGAATGCATTAATTTATTTGCAATATCAACCAAAAAATATTACTAATTCAGTCAAATTCTCTCAGTTTTCCCTGTTGTCAATGTGGTTTTCAATGAACAATTAACTCATAGCCATTTGGTTCATACTGAATGTGTCAAGAGTCTAACAGCATAGACAGGATGTGAGTTGCTAAGAAAATGCAGCCATGGTATAGGCTGTCCACCTCACACCCAGAAGTCCTTCCAGGCCTTCCCTGAAGCCTAGTCCTGCGTAGAGTGACTCACACACACCCTGAGTCTTCTCAGGTCTTCGAGATCATGCTGCAGCTCCCACTGCCCTGCAGCCCTTTTCTTACACCTGATAGCTGGTGTCTGAAGCATCTCTGGTCTGGGCCTTTCTCACTCTCCTGTCTTGTCTTTCTGCTGCTGAGTGCTGAAGCCACTGTTTCACACCTGGGCCAAAGCTCCTGCCACCGCCACCGCCTTGGGTGGTCTCTCCTCTTCAGTGACTATGGCTCAAAGATTCTGCTGTTCCAGGACTCCAGGTTCTTCCAAGACCTCCCCAGAACCCCAGATGGTGGACTGGAGGTTTTTAGTTGTAACTAGAATACTTTATAACCGGGGAACCCCAAGACCCAGTAAATGACTCTGTAGACTACTTCCTTGAAGGTGAACACAATTCTGCTAACAGTGGATATCTTTTGGCCAGTTTGAGGAGTGCTTTCCCTCTGAGGACCTTTCCCTCTGTCATCCACACTTTCTCGTTCAACTTCAGACCCAACTCCACCAGCCAGTCCCCTGCCCGTTTGTCTGTTCACACTTCCCCTTCCCTCAACTTAATTGTATATCTCATCACCTGTGGACTCACTATTTGTGTGTTGAAGGCAGGTGGATTGAGTCAGTCCTCGGCTGCCCCACTGGCATTCCTAGTACTCACCTTCAGGCCAATCTTTGCACAAGTTCTTGTTCTCACTTCTCTGCAGTACATTCCTTAACTTGATCACTAACTGGATTTCCCATAATTCCTCTCTGACACACAACGGGAATTCAAAGGAAGTGATCTTAAAAGCCTAAACAGTTCTTTGACTCAACAGTCCCCAGTAGTCCCCTCCCCACTCACCTACATACAGACTAACACTGGAACACAAAGCAAAAAAATTAAAAATAGTTTCCCTTACTTCTGCTGTTCTTACGTTAAGGCCTAAGAGTAACTCTAAAAAGGAGGAAGATGAATATGTGGTGAAATCCACAAAGTGTAGCTTCCTGATTCCTTTGGAAGTTTTGAAAAATTCCATGTACCCGATATTTCTTTCATCAGGTGCAAAAGTACAATGTGTCCCAAAGCCTGCTGATAGGAAATTTGGGGATTCGTGTCAATTTGGATAATTTGCTTTGTCATTTCTCCATTTCAGTGGATAATTGGGCTCTTTCTGGGTGAGTAATTATGTGTAACATAGATCAAATCTTTTCATAACATGATGAGGAGCTGTGAAAATATTTTACTCGAATCTCAGTGTAGTAATTGTTGTGAGAAATTATGGTAACTCTGGGAAAATGGGCACCTACCACCATCCTGAGACGTCCTCAACAGTGTTTCTCTCTCTCTCTCTCTCTCTCTCTCTCTCTCTCTCTCTCTCTCTCTCTCTCTCACACACACACACACACACACACACACACACACACGGAATCACTATTCTTAGAGTTCCTCAGCAGGTATAATCAAGGATCCTCTGGATAATGTTGACTGCTTAGGATAAAACAGCAAAACCTAGTGTGTGCCACTCACACGGTTCTGTTGAAAGTAATGCCTGTGTTGAATGTTCTTTCCTGCAACGCTCTTCCTCTGTTACTTCAGCTCATCCTCACAGCAGCACGGATGGTAGGTAGGGTAGCTCCTGCAATCATTTGCTGAGGATAACTTGAGATAGAGGTAGGGTCAGTGACTTACCTGGGGCTGCACAGCCTTCAGCAGTTCCTCTTTCCCATAGGGAGCAGTGGCAGTGTGGGCTCATGCATGGCAGGAGATTTTAGAAAGTCGTGTGGTCACATTCAGACCCTCCCAGTCCCCGTGGGGTACCCCAGGCCAGCAAGGGTTGCTCTTTTTCTGTATCAGAGTTGGCAACTGGCATATGGGGACTGAGTAAGTGCTGAGTGCCAAGTCATTTGCTCTAAGGAGATCAAGTACCCAGCGCCAGGTGATTTTCTTTTTTGTCATAGTTACCTGTTATAATTAGGCTTGACTTCTGTCATGAATCTGTGCTCTTTGGGAGGGTGCAGTGCTCTGTGTTTAGACTTCAATTGGTAGCAGGCTGTCTCAACCAAAAGACGGGAGGTAGTGAAACCCTCTCTAAAGTTAAGAGGACATTCACTATCCACACGCCCCTCAGAATCCTGATTAGGGCCACCAGGTGAGCTGTGCAACCTGCAAGGAACCTGTAGCCGCAAGCCATTCTCCTGATTTAGGTCCTCAGCACAGAGGAGCCCAGGCTACTGGGTACATTCTGAGGGCTGTCCACCAGACAGGCTGTCTACAAGTCAGTGAATGTCTAGACACTACAGTGTGTGCATGCTGCAAATGTTGACTTAGGAGCTAGATGGTGTGCTGTGTGCATGCGTGGCAAAGAGGCTCAGTGTATTGCCGTGGCTTCTGTTCATGGAGAAGTGCTTTTGTAATTTGTTCTCAGGCCATGCTGTGAGGGCCGCCTTAACCCTTGCTCCCTTCCCTTCTAGAGCTGCCTTAAGTTCTCCAGAACTTTTCCTCTGTAAGAGATATCTTGCCTGGAAGGGATATCTTGCCCTGTTTCTCAAGGTTTTGTGAGACTTCAATTGGGTGTGGCCTTCAACCTTGAATTCTTTTCTCCCCTTCCTGCATGACCTCTCTCCTCCTGTTACTTTCTCCTTTCTTTCCTTTTCAAACAGGGATTAGAACTATGGGGCAGCAACAATCTTAGAGCCATGAAATGTCAGCTAAGGTGATGATGTTCCTGAGTTAGTGGGACTCTGTCACAAGTAAGCAAATGAACATATGGAAGAAACATAGAGATAAGTTAGATTCTTGGTAATACTTAAATGTCTTGTTTTCCACTAACTTTTACTTTATGAAGGTAAAGGGTATAACTCTAAAACTTTTCATGGACATTCTTTTAAAAAATTGTAAGAACATTATACTATAAAAGGTTGAGTAAAAGCAGGAAAGAGTGCTATAGGTTCTAATCCATTGCATTACCTTAAATTAAATAAATCAACCTGGAATTACAGTAGATTTCTCAATATATCAGGAACTGAAAAATACTATGTAAAATATCTTCCAAACTGCATTTTATACATTTTTTATTTTGTAAATTGGTCTAGCTAAAATATTCATTAGCTTTAACTTAATGGGTGTTATTGGGTTCATAAAATGTCTGAAAATGACTAACATTTCTTTGGTATTATAACGCTTGAAATATTTGAAAGAAAAATGCTTTCTTTTTTTAGTTGACACTGGTATATATAATTCAATGCTTGGCAGGTCAATACATTTTCATACATTTCCAGAGTCAATAGTTCCAACTATCTTATTTTTACCATATGTTATAAAATGTTAGCTTACATTTCAGGCTCTCTAAGTCATTTGAGCCATTTTCTTTTCCAACAAACGGTGAAACTTTCTTTAAATGTGGATATATATGTTGTAATTTATGATTCCTAGTTATGTGTTTTTGTGGGATCCTGGAGTAAAATTGACTTTTTTGTGTCCTTGGAAAATTTAAATTGCTCTAACAGTGTTGCACAGAAATGAGCTCATGCCACCTAACATATTATATTTTAGTCATTAACTTTATTTAACATAATTTACTATGAAATGGACATGCCTTTTAACTATAATGAAATTGAATATTGCCGTTTTCAAATATTTTTTCTTGTTGGATCTAAGGAAGGAATTCTACTTTGATCTGCGTAGAAAAAAATGATACAGTCTTTGAAAAGTTCTTAGGTGAAATATTTACCCATTAGAAAGGAAGCAGAACTACTGAGAAGTGAAAGGCATTATCTACTAACTCTAGACTCTAGTTTTAAACTGAACCCATCCCAGCATATCTCACATGAAATTTTTAAAAATAAGTTAATAATTCACCTCATATCAACAAAAGCCTTTGAAACATGGGTTTTCACTAGATATCACCTAGTGCTAAGATAAAAACCAAAACAATATCAGAATTACATTTATGCTCTAAATTTGTAGTTGTCTAATGTTGTGCTTAGTAAATGTGTGTCATAATGCTGTATTCGCCTAGCTATTATAGAAAATTGTTTAAATAAAGATATGGATATAAAGGGGTTTTTGTCGGTGTCTTAAATGAATCCACTGCACATTTTAAAACAACACAACAAGTTTTCCTGAAGACTGGTGAATATAAATATAACTTCTCATGAGAATATTCTAAGGAGTCTTGGAAATTTAAAATTTGGCAAGTCCTTCTTCTATACTGGAAAACACAGTGATGTATGTGATAAAGAAGAGAATTGTCAAACACTTAAACAAGCAAACAAAAACAGCTGAGGAAAAAGCAGCGTCTTTTCTTCAGAAGGACGTCATCCCTAAATCTACTGGAATTCTCTGACAGAAATAGACGTTGCCATTGTATCAAAAGTACTACCTTCAATATAGTAGGAGAGTAGGCAAATGTTTTAACAGATGACAGAGATCAAAGAAGTATGCAGATGCATTTCTCTGGATGGAGAAACAGAGCAAGATTATTCATATCCATGATTGAATTAGCCTCATCTTTATTTATAATAAGGAGAAATGAATACAGTCATGTACCACATAACATTTGAGGTCAACAATGGACTGCATACACGACGGTGGTCCCGTAAGATTATACTACTGTATTTTTACTGTATCTTTCCTATGTGTATATACACAAACACTTAACATTGTGTGACAGTTGCCTACAGAATTCAGCACAGTAACATGCTATAGAGGTTTGTAGCCAGGAGCAATAGGCTATTCTGTACAGCCTGGGTATGTAGTAGGCTGTACCATCTAGGTTTGTATAAGTACATTCCATGATGGTCACACAATGACAAAATTACCAATAACGCATTTCTCAGAGCATATCCCCTCGTTAAACCACACATGACTATA